ATTTCTCCTGGGGGATGCGGGGGTGGGGGTCTTACTGCAGGCTCCCTGGTCTCCTTCGTCCCCCTTGGCAACCTGCTTTCTCAGGCCCACGTGGTCACCCCAGGCCAACCCAACAGGACCTTCCAGTGCAAGAGCTCACAACCACCAAATGATGCGTCCTGGTGTCTCCTCGACGTACACACACCCTGAATCCAGTCGGCCTGGCTGGGGACTCCAGGGGACGAGCTGCTGGAGTCAGCTGGTCCCTGCAGGCAGCAGGCATGGCGGGGAGGGAGGCTGTGCAAGGGAGGACTCGAGGCAGGGCAGGCAATATAACAGGGCATTCCACTCCCCCCTGAGGGGGAGGGACAAGGTGAGACTTTCACCGCAGTCATATGGCTGAAGAAGTCACGAGAGGAATAGCTTTACTGACTTGTTCTGAAACATATTCAGCATAAGCTGCCCTGAATGGTGTGGCTTAGTGGACTGAGCACCGGCCTGCTAAACCAAAGGGTCGCTGGTTCAATTCCCAGTCAGGACACATGCCTGGGTGGCAGGCTAGGTCCTCAGCAGGGGTCATGCGAGAGGCCACCATGCATTGATGTTTCTCTCCTTCCCTTCCCCCTTCCCTTCCCCGCTCTAGAAATAGATAAATAAATTTCTTTTTTAAAGCATAAGCTGATAAATTGGCGTCTCTCAGTTCCTACTTGCTGAATATTAGAGAAGAGACCCCCGTGGGTGTCTTACTGCCAGACATGGCAGATCTCCCTGGACGTCCTCTGGGTCCGGGCCGAGGGAAAAGGCCCAGATTGTGCCATGTCTGCCCTTTGGCTTATTTTTATTTTGGGGGTGGCGACTTTCTTCCTTTCCTTTCTCTGTCCGCCCTTCATCCCCCTTTCAACTCCAAGTACAGCAACTACAGATTTAGATTCCTGGGACACGTATTCTTACAACCTGACATATTGTAAGAGCAAGCCTCCTCGCTCCTACAACAACGTGCAGGCATGTGCAGGGTTGTGATAATATTGTTTACAGAAAGAAGGTCAGACTTTATACAGGTTTTTGCATCCCAGTTTTCCCAAAGAGGTCAAAGTCACAGCTCTAATTTATTCGTAGTCACGACTCTGTAATCTTCTACTGTGAGAGTTTCTATGTTCTATTCAGCCCTTTCCTGTTGATTGGAATTCACTTCGCTCCTAGAGTTGTCCAGAGCAGCGCTTCCTGACTACAAAACCCGGTGTACTGATGCTTGTATTTCTGTGCATTAGAGTCCCAGGCACAGAATTATTGCTGGGCTGAAGAAGGTATTTTATTAATTTAATAGAGGCTGCCATATTGCTTCTCAGCTATAACTAGTAATTGAGTATACGTATGACCGTATCGCCACGAGTAAAAGGTGTTATTGCTGATTTTAAATTTTGCTAGTTTTAGGGTTGCGCAGAATTATCCCACTACTATTATAAATTGCATTTCCCATCTCACTGGAGTGTTTGAGAATCTTAAAAAAAATTTGTCAATCACTTGAATTTGCTCTTCTGTGAATTGCTATCTTATATCCTTGGTCCATTTTTTATTGGGTGGTTGTCTTTCATTAATTTGTAAGAACATTTTGTTTGTAATAGATACTAAGCAATTTTCTTTCTCTGAATTGCAAATATATATAATTAACACCTTAAGGTATTTTTTACCATAAACAATTAGTTTAACATTGACAAGTATATCTATCTTTATTTTTTTTTAAATAGCTTCTGAGTTTTCATTCTTGGGTAAAAGTGTTTTCCTACTGCTAAACTATTATGTTGCCTCCTAAAAAAAGGAATAAAAACTTTCTTGTAAGATATTTTAACATCACTTTTTATGTGTAAGTCTTTATCTGGAATTGATCATTGTATAAGTGGTAAGATTGAAGATCAATTTATCTTCTCCCATGCATAAAAGACCATGTTTTTCATGCATTAGGTTCTTGAATATATTGGAATCTATTTCAGCTTCCTCTACTTGGTCTGTATCTCATTTCTTCTTCCTATGCCAATACCATATATATTTGAATAGCATGGCTTTCTGATCTGGTAATGCAAATGCCTCTATTATTTTTTAAAGTTAGTGTTCCCAGGAATTTGTTTTTCTAAATAAGCTGTGAAATTATTTTATCCATAATTATCTGTCCTTGAAAAAAAAACAAAAACCTCTTAGGATTCTATTTGGAATTGCATTAAATATATACATTAATTCTAAGAGGGGTGACTTTAAATAAATATACATCTTTTCCTCCAAGGATGGATGTGGCTTTCCCTTTATTCAGGTCTTGGTTTATGCCATTTGATAAGATTTAATTGCTTTTACAGAAGACCCTTTTTTTCTTGTTATATTATATTCCTAAATATTCAATAGTTTGGGTTGCTATTGTGAATAATTTTTTCCTATTTCTACTTGTTTAAGGCTAGAAGAGAGAGAGCCTGTCAATATTTGTATATTTATTTTATATCTAGTGGTATCACCAAATAACTCATTAATTTTAGTCACTTATACTAATTTCTTGGATTTCTAAGCATACAGTCATATCACCAACAAAAATAGGCAAATCTATCTCATCAGTTAAGGTCCAACCAGTTTCACACTTTTCCGATCTTACCGCATCTGCCAGGACCACAGAGGCCGTGATCAGTAGTAACGACAGGGGCGGCGTCCTCTGCGTCTAGTTCCTGACTAAACGAACATGGTTCTAGAAGTCCGCCATTAAGAAAACTATTTCCTGTTGGCTCTTGCTCTTTATTTCTCAAGTTTCCTATGTAACTAAAAATCTATTGTTTAGATTTTTTTTTAGGAAAGGATACTGTAATTTTGTCCAATGTCTTTTTAAACTCAATGGGTGTGTGTGGGTGTGTGTGTGTGTGTGTGTGTAATTCTTTCTTTGTATTGTTTTTTGTTTTTCAAGAAGAGACTATCATACTTGGAAAGGTATACAGGCTTATAGTCTGGCCCTCATTCTTTCTTATTTTAATGTATCTGTATGCCTTTTCAAAGACATAGAGCAAGCAAAGTTGTTTGCATATGATGGAATACTGTATCATTTAAACATCATATTTCCAAAGACTAATGTCATGGGAAGAGAATCATAAAGAAGTTAAAGTGGCAAAAAAAAAAAAAAAAAAAAAGTTACCTAGGACGTAAAACCCTAACCAGCATGATCCTAATCCTTGAAAAAAGAAGTACTTGTTTAGACATGAAAAACCTCAGGAAGGAAAGAGATGGCGTGAACAGGGGTACCGGTGATTTTTATATCGTTCCTCACAGTTGTCGGTATTTTCAAGATTGTCGACAATGACCCTGTCAGGCTGTCCTAATCACGAGGAAACCTACATTTTTACTTCGCAATGTCAATGGCGAGAATCTCATGGTCCTTCAGATCCCATCAGAACCCAGTGTTCTCACAGCCCAGCCTGGTTGGAGCCCAACCGTGTGTCGGGGCTCACAGAGGCCGCACGGCTCCCAGGCCCCTCCTTACAGTATTTTATTTTACCTAAAGCCCCTGCTGTCCCTCCAACCCAGGACAGTGCCACCTGATAAGAAGGTCTCTGCCACCTCGCCTAGGGCGGTGGAGCAAAGTCTGAAAGGGGAGACAGCCAACCAGCTCAGCTTTGGCTCTGTTGGCTCAGCTGTGTGACCTCGGGCACGTCACTTGGCTTCTCTGAGCCATACCACAAGTCCTTGCTCATAAAATCGGGACACCATGTTGGGTCTCCTTCTCGCAGGCGGGGGCTGCTTCATAAACCGCCCAGTGTACACAGTGCAAACCCAAGGGCGCGCTCTCGCCTCCACAGGGCAAGTGCTCTGCCACCATCTGCACCACCTGATTGCAAAACAATTCTCATTTAATTGGATTCATCTGAGTAGGTTAAATAATAATAATAATAATAATAATAATAATTACTGAGAGTAGTAATCATGGCAAGGACAGCTCACCGTGCTGCCATTACATAACGCCCGCTTCTGCCCAACGCCCCAGTTTGAAGGCCTCTCCCACTCACCAGCATGTGACTCAGAGATGGCCGATCAGTCCCGCGCTGGGAGGGAGGCCCTCTGGCGCCTTCTGTCACCATGCGAACGCACAGCTGGGGGTGTCATCCATGCCTCCGTCTCTTCCCACCAACCACAGAGTGAATACGGGCGGATTGCTCAACCCGCCCTAAAACACACTGTCACTGTGCCACAGACAGGTAAGCCATTAGGTGAGGCATTTGAAAGAGCCCAGGGGTGCGTGTGTGTCCAGGCTGGCGGGCGTGGGGGAGATGATGTTAAAACGTGTTCTTTCAGCCAAAGCGCATTTAAAGCACCCCTCCCCCCGCAACACGACTTCAGCCTGTGGCGGCTGTCGGAGGTCCCTGGCTGCCCTAGTCCCTGATGTCCCCTGTTCCTGAAACCTGTTTTTGTCTCCAGTTCCCCAGGGAGAATCATGGGAGCCTGGGCCCCTAAGGAGTTCTGTGCCCAGGCTGGGCCGCCCCTTTGGGGAGCCTTGCCACGGGTTCCCAGGAGAGTCCCAGGGCCCCCAAGGCAGGAAGAGGGGAGCACGCTTCAAGGAGTAGGGAGGCCCAGAGTGCGCCAATGCTGCGGCTGGGCGGGAGGCAGGGCCGCTGTGCCTTCTGTGCGTGCGTGTGTCCGCCTACACGGCCTCTTCCCGTGCAGGCCTAGGAGCAGCCCAAGGCCATTCCGCTCCCATAGGTCACAGGTCAGCAGAAAGTGCTTACAACCGCCAGCCAGGGAAGTACAATGGAGCCGCCTTTCTGGGAAAGCCCTGGGTGCTGCTCTGCTTGCCCCGCTCACACAAGGGCCGAGGCCAGCCATTCTGGACACGCAGGGCCTCCGGTTTGGGAAAATCGTTTTAGAATGCTTTTTTCTTTTTCTTTCTTTCTTTTTTTTTTTGAAATACTCTTTTTTTTAAATTCAAATACCATTCTGATTATTCATGGTCCAAGAACATTCAAATAATGAACCAAAAAGAAATAGATGTTATAGATTGGTCTTCAAACATTATAGCCAATGATGCCACGCTTGCCTATGATCTCATCGACGTAAAACCACATCCTCACCTCAGTGGCCACCAAACCATTCAGCAGAGCTTCCTTAACTGTGAGCTGTTTGAAGCTACCAGTTTGAGCACTATTGACTATTTTTTTCAACCTCTGAATAGCTGTTGGGATCTCAGCAGGGGTTGGAGGAATCAGCTCAACCTTGGCATACTGCCAAGATGTGGCCAATCGCGGTTTAGAGTAAGTCACGGCAGCAGTTACCAGCATCGGGGCCTTCTCTGTGAGCTTACGGACAAATTGGGCCATGGTTGCGGTATGGAAGTTCTGTGGCACTCTTTTTTTTTTTTTTTTTTTTTTTTTTTTTAGTGGGACTCTGGTAACTAGACCTTTAGTTTCTTGTCTTTCTTTACCTTTTTGTTTTACTCTCTGGAAGACTTCTTCAACTTCATTTTCTAGTCCTTCTATTGAGTATTCCATTACTACCATCAACTTTAAAAAAATTGTAATTTCTTGATTTGAAAGGGTTGGGGGAGAGAGAGACATTGGCCTGTTGCTCAACTCATTGACGCATTCACTGGTTGATTCTTGCATGTGCCCTGACCGGGGATCGAGCCTGTGACCTTAGTGTATCAGGATAGTGCCCTAACCAACTGAGCTATCCAGCCAGGGCACCACTAACAAATATTTAATTCTTGATAGTTTTCTGGGCACGCCTTTTGTTCATCACCTGTTTTTTGTTTGTTTGTTTGTTTTGTGGGTGGAATTAATATTCCTTTCAGGGTTTCAGTGAGAACGGTTTTCTTCTCCCCCCTGCAGAGCCCGTTACCTTTTGTTGGCTGGGCTCTCTGTTCCACGGTGCTGGGGCAGCCACTGGAAGTCCTGGGCAGGCAGGCTGGTGCCAGGGTCATTCTCCGAGGCACTTTTTGGGGTGCCTCGTCCCAAACCACGTCTGCATGTTTAGGTCTTTATTTTGGTGCTGGTGGTAATTCCAAAAGGCAGCCTGGTATGAAGATACAATTGTTTTGTTTTGTTTTCATTAACATCTTCTATCATAGAGTCAGGCCGCGGACCCAAATACCGTTAACAAACGTTTGAGAGCAGATTCATGGAGAACACGATGAGTTTGCAAAGATCAGACTTCTACAGCGTCCTCTCTAAGAAAGATGCCCCGGAATGTAGGGCCAGTTCAGCTGGTGCCAATGGCATTGACTTTGGAGTCTGCAGTGGGCAAGTAAAATCCCCCCAGTACTGCAGGGCGAGGGCCCCGCCCACATCCCTCAGCGGGAAGACAGCGTGCTGTGCCTGCCCGGTATCTGGACACCAACACAGTCTCCCAAAATAGCTTGACTCGGCGGGAACATGGGAGTGACGGGCGGGGGTGGAATCCATTCCCAGGGAAGCTCCATGCCCTCGGGCTCCACAGCCAGTTGACAGTACCTCCAGGGTCTTCTGCTCCAGCTGTTCTCGTTTCTTCCCTGCCCGGAAGCTCCTGTTTACTTCTGTCCCCTGAGATGCGGGGCCCCAGAACAGCACTCTGAACACTGTCCACGCCTCTCCTGCGACGGAGGCATGGTTCTCACCGTCCCCGTCCCAGTTGGAAGGTGCTGCAAGGTGCCTGCGGGCGTTGCAAGGTGCCCCTCAGACCAAATATTTAACTTAGAGGCTCAGTCCCCAGGAGAAGAGAGCATCGTTATAATTATTTGTCACATTTAAAGGGCTCCCTCTGTGCGCCTTTGGGTGCTCATAAAGCAAACAACGCTCCCATTTTGGCAGCCACGTCAGAGCTGGCCGTCCTGGTGGTCGGCACGAAGCAGACAGCAGGGGTGGGCATCCCTGCTGATGCATGGTTTCCAGGGAGAGAAGGGTTTTACATCACAGGACATGCCACAGGGCCAGCCGTGTCCTTGAGCATCCCCAAGTGTACTCTTCTGTGGCGTGACCGCTGTCTAGATCCACAACAAGGGAGCTGCCTGTTATACAAACACGAGCAGAAGCCTTGGACACACGGAGCTGGCCGAGCTGAGTCACTGCGCCTGTCCCGTTTACAGTGTCCTGGGAGGAGGCAGACAAGGCAACCCCAGGTCAGCATGTTGGAGCCCAGGAGCAGGTTGGCCACTAGTGGCCAGTGTGGTGTCCCCCGAAAGGACAGCCCTCCTCCCTGGGCAGGTTCACGTAAGAACTTGTTCCCAAGTGTTCGCAGCGCTGTGCTCGGGGCTTCTTGACCTCATACCACCGGGGCGGCCTGGACAGGCAGGAACTCGTTCAGAGGAGTGGCCAGGAGGCGGAGTGGCCAGTAATGTGTCCTATGGGCCACCTTGAGGGACTGCAGTTATTCTGGTGGGAAGGAAAAGGCTGGGAGGGGCAACAGGGACACAGAGGACACCACTGAGTAATTGCAGAAGAGTGAAGTGTGTAGAAAGACATCCCCAGGCAGAGACTGAAGGGTGTCTTGCTGGCAAAGGAGCGGTGCTTCCCCAGTTGGTCCACACATTCAGTGCAAGCTCTGTGGAAATCCCAGCTGGGTTCCCCCCACCCTCAGGAATAATGAGCTGGTGCTTAAATTTATACAGAAGTTCAAGGGACCCAGGATAGTCAAAACACTATTGATAGAGCAGGACAAAGTTGGAGAACTCATACTCCCCAGTTTCAAAACTTATTACGGAGATACTGTAAACAAGACAGTATGGTACTAACATAAGGATAGACACATAGATCAATGGAATAGCATGAAGAATCTAGAAATAAACCCATACACATATGAGCAATTGATTTTTAGCAATGGTGCCAAGACTGTTTACTGGGGGAAGGAATAGCCTTTTCAACAGGGGGCGGCGGGGCGGCATGGCTTCGCGTGGGAGGGTAAAGCTGGACCCCTAGCTCTCCCCATATACAAGAAACATGTCCTCAAAATGGATCAAAGATTTTTAAATGTAACACCGAAAACTATAAAACTCTTAGAAGAAGACTCTGAGATGTAAATCTTTGTGACCTTGGACTAGCCAATGGTTTCTCAAATGTAACACCAAAGCACCAGAAACAAAAGGAAAAAATAGATAAACTTCACCCAAATTTTCAAATCATGTTGTCCACTTTAAGTATCTTATCATTTTATTTGTCAGTTAGCCCTCCACAGAGCTGGAAAAAATAAAATAAAATTTTTATGGTAAAAGATGCTGCCAAGAAAGTGAAACAATAACCCATGAATGAGAGAAGATATTGGCAAACTATGTACTTTGTAATGATCTAACATCCAGAATATATAAAGAGCTCTTACAACTCAACAACAAAAAGACAAATAACGCAAATTGGCTAAGGCTCTGAATAGACATTTCTCCCAAGAAGATACGCAAATGGCCAGTGAGCACATGAGAAGATGTTCAACATCACTGACCGTCACATAAAGGCAAATCAAAGCCACAAGGGGATAGCACGTCACATCCACCAGGATGACCCTCGCTAAAAAGAGGAAGGACGCCAGCCCCTAGAGAGAGTGTGTTGAAACCGAACCCTCATACATCGCTGTTAGGAATATAAAAGGCTGTGTTTGCTTCGGACAACAGCTTGTCAGTGCCCCCAAAACATAAACAGAGTTTCCATATGAGCCAGCAACCCCATCCTTAGGTTTATATCCAAGAGAACTGAAAAACATATGTTCACATAAGAACTTGTTCGCAAGTATGCATAGCACTATTGTTCATAAGAGCCCCGAAGTGGAAACAACCCAAATGTCCATCAACCAATGAGCAGATAAACAAAATCTAGTCTACCCACACGATGGCGTATTATTGGCAACGCAAAGAGAAGGAAGGGCTGACGATGTGCAACACAGATGAAAACACTGTGCTCAGCGAAAGGAGCCGGAGGTGAGGGCCACTCATTATAATCCCATTTATGTAATGTGTCCAGAAGAAGCAACTCTATAGCGATGGAAAGCCGGCTAGTGGTTGTGGGGAGCTGGGCACGGGGCAATGGCGACTGACCGCTAATGGGGATGGGTTTTTTGAGGGGGCGACAAAAATATTCTGGAATTAGGTGGTTAGTGATGGTTACTCCGTCTTGTGAATATTCTCGCACCGCTGAATTGCCCACATGAAAAGGGCACTTTTATGGCAGGTGAAGTCTATCTCAGTTAAGAAAATAAATAATCAAGTGTGAGAGGAAGAAGCCACAGCCGTGGGCTTGCGTTGAGACACCTGGGGGCTGGCGGGCAGGTGACAGCTCCGCAGGGTCAATGCCTGACGATCAGACCTCGTGGGTGACAGGAGTCCTCGCGGTGCAGGAATCTCTCCGCGCAAGCTGCTACGGGTCCCTGTCACCAGGCAGCGAGGTCCGTGGCCCTGGGCGTATGTAACCAAGCTGGGGTCCACCTACGGCCTGGCAGATGTGCTGGCAAGATGACTCACGCAGCGGGCTGAAGAGGACGGCTATAAAAATCCCTCCTGACCCTAAAGCGCCGTCGTTGTATGACCCGTTAAGAGAACCTTTGGCGAGCACATGGCAGGTGCTCAGTGCAAGGCCGGCTGCGCCCAGCTGACCTGGAGTTACCCTCCTAGGCCCGAACTCTTGTGCTGTCTTCAAAGTACGCAAGCCTTCAAGCACAAGGAAGCAGGGGTCTCACCTGAAAACCACTGGACTTTGTAGGTTAGCACAGTGGTCTCCGAACTTTTTAGCAGGGGGACCAGTTTCGCGGAAGACAGTTTTCCCACGGACGGGGTCGGGGAGCACGGTTACCAGGTGGTTCAAGCACAATGCATTCAAGTTCACCTCCTGCTCTGCAGCCCGGTTCCTGGGAGCTGAGGACCTCTGGGTTAGGAGACTACGTCTGCCTGTCTTTCCCCTGGGCTTACACTTTGATGCCCAAATAACAACAATAAAATCAAGAGGATTGGCCCTTGGAGAACATCGGCTGTGGGTGAGACCCCTAGAGGCTGCAGACCGGTCCTTCCGGCCCTGGGCTCGCGCCCCCTCCCAAGGGGAGAGCCCGCCCCAGCAGCCTAGCCGGCGCTGGTTTGCACTCTGGCAGCTATTTGCGCAACCCAGGCAGTGGCGCTAGGACGGGGCACACACCCAGGCGGCCGGCTTTCTACAGATCACATCCTGGAAAGAAGGGAACCCCCAGGAGAGAGGACGGTTGCTTCACAGGATGCGTAAACTGTCCCATTGATTCACCCAGAAACCATCCAGCGAACCGGCCAGGCGGAGCCGTGTTTACTTTCACAGAACAGGAGACGCCGGCACAGGCTGGGGAAAGCTCCAGAACCACCCACGCAGGGAATGCGCCCCCTCGAGTGGGAGACGGGCTTCGG